GTGTGTCCCTCTGTGTCTCACTGTGTCTCAGTGTGTCCCTCTGTGTCTCACTGTGTCTCAGTGTGTCCCTCTGTGTCTCACTGTGTCTCACTGTGTCTCAGGTGTCTCACTGTGTCTCACTGTGTCTCACTGTGTCTCAGGTGTCTCACTGTGTCTCACTGTGTCTCACTGTGTCTCAGGTGTCTCACTGTGTCTCACTGTGTCCCACTGTGTCTCACTGTGTCTCAGTGTGTCTCACTGTGTCTCACTGTGTCTCAGGTGTCTCACTGTGTCTCACTGTGTCTCACTGTGTCTCACTGTGTCTCACTGTGTCCCAGTGTCTCACTGTGTCCCTGTGTCTCACTGTGTCTCACTGTGTCCCTGTGTCTCACTGTGTCTCAGTGTGCCTCACTGTGTCCCTCTGTGTCTCACTGTGTCCCTGTGTCTCACTGTGTCTCAGTGTGTCTCACTGTGTCTCAGTGTGTCTCACTGTGTCTCAGTGTGTCTCAGTGTGTCTCACTGTGTCCCTCTGTGTCTCAGTGTGTCTCACTGTGTCCCTCTGTGTCTCAGTGTGTCTCACTGTGTCCCTCTGTGTCTCAGTGTGTCCCTCTGTGTCTCACTGTGTCCCTGTGTCTCACTGTGTCTCACTGTGTCTCACTGTGTCTCAGTGTGTCTCACTGTGTCTCAGTGTGTCTCAGTGTGTCCCACTGTGTCTCAGTGTGTCCCACTGTGTCTCAGTGTGTCTCACTGTGTCTCACTGTGTCTCAGTGTGTCCCACTGTGTCTCAGTGTGTCCCACTGTGTCTCAGTGTGTCTCACTGTGTCTCAGTGTGTCTCAGTGTGTCCCACTGTGTCTCAGTGTGTCTCACTGTGTCTCAGTGTGTCCCACTGTGTCTCAGTGTGTCTCACTGTGTCTCAGTGTGTCCCACTGTGTCTCAGTGTGTCCCACTGTGTCTCAGTGTGTCTCACTGTGTCTCAGTGTGTCTCACTGTGTCTCAGTGTGTCCCACTGTGTCCCACTGTGTCTCACTGTGTCTCACTGTGTCTCACTGTGTCCTGCAGTAACTGTCTCACTGTGTCC